ATATGGGCTGGAGCACCTTCTGCTTACCTCGGAGTTCTTGACAAGATCCAGAGGCGGATATGTAATCTAATTAGCCCTGATCTGTCGTCTCGTCTGCAGTCACTCTCTCACAGACGCGACGTCGCCTCTCTCTCTTTTCTACAAATACTTCCATGGTAATTGTTCCGATGAGCTGCTCTCACTGGTTCCCAGACTCCATCAATTCAAGCGCACTACGAGGCTGGCATCGCGCTCCCACCCGTACACTATAGAAATTTTTAAATGTAGCCGTATCTTCTACTCCAATAGCTTCATACCTTGCACCTCTCGCCAGTGGAACACCCTTCCCAATTACTCTTTCCCTGAAAGCTATAATCTCCAACTATTCAAATGTAATGTCAATCGACACCTCTAGTTACCTTGATCTACCCACAATCCTTCTCCTCATCCTTTCTTTTATCACTCCTATCTGCTCTCGCTCCAAATCTTCCGCAACCCCCTGCATCCTAGTGGCTTCACGCCTTGCTTGGGCGTAATGCTTTAAAAAAAAAACTAACATTTGGAAGGCTTCTTTCGCTATCTCAAAGTGTCGACGGATTTTTTTTTCCTTCTCTAATTCAGAATTCGCATCTTACCCTTTTTCTGAGTTCAAAACATTCTATCTTCTTACCATATAAGAAAAAGAAATCAGCCGGGGACTTTCAACAGCAGTAACAGCTAAAATGAATATCACACATAAGAGAAAAATTAGATTTTGCCAATTTACAAAACGTCAAACAAAATTTGAAAGAAACTTCCATCAGTACTGGAAAGGGTCATAACAGCTATTGGTCTTGAAAAACCTATTTTTCTGAAAAGAGATTGTTTTTAATTTCCACCTATAATAGTAATGGTTGCTCAGACAATAATTTCCCAATGTTTCTTTATAAGGAAATGTGCATGACTTCTGTTCGTTTTCTTTGCATCCTATTATTTGTTGTTACATTGGCTTGAGGTTCATACAGTTTTGCGCCTGTCATCAATTCAGTGACAGATACATATCTTATATCATCATAATTATTATTTTGTTCGCCAGTAATAAATCGAATTCTCTGGTCATCAAGTCACATTAAAAGCCGAATAAAAAGTATCCACTTTATAATGACATTACTATATCCCAGAGGCCACGAAATGTTTTTAGAAATCCGGATAAGGTACACCATTGAGAAAATTAATTGAAACAAATCGAATAATTACGTTATTATTTACATTTTTTCGTATTTCTCCAATGAAACATAGACCAATGCACATCCTAGTACTTTGTATGTCCATTCCACAGAGTCGTTCCTTACAGCTTGAGCACAGATTCTCGATTGGATTTAAATCAGGAGAGTTTCCATGCCAGTCTAGTATTTTTATTTGCTTATTGGTAAAGCTTGTCAGTTGCTCGTGCAGCATTACAAAGTTCCGTACGCTTCTTTGGATTAACATCCATTGCAGAGAATCGCGGTAGAAAAACTAATCGACAGTCGAAGCAATAGTGACTGGGCGTTGATAAAAACTGATGCAGCCACGGATGACGCAATATTTTTCAAAGCCAATCAAATTCAATCACATACCCCCAAAATAGATTCATATTATTGCACGCCACTGCAAATGACTTCATTTGAGGAAAAGATAGAAATCGATTACACCCTGTCACTCCAGTGGTTCTAAACTAACTGACTTATGGTGAAAGAAAAGAAAACTAAAGCGGTTATTTCAATTAATTTGTACAATGAGGTACTATCCTCCCAAAATAATGAGGTTACATTTCTGAACGGATAGAGAAATAATATTGAATGAGTGTATCATAGAAATCATTAGAGTTTGTTTTGTACAGTGTAACTTAAATAACGAGAACGGTGGTTAGCTGACTACGTTACCGCTATATCATTTGATGCCATGTCCCGGAAAGTAAAACAGTGTGTCCCAATAGGCTTTCATATCTGAGAAACGATAAGAAATTCTCCGTGGAAAATACTTAACATTTGACAACCAAGCCCATACGTAAAAGATTAAACTGGTTCTCGACATTTAGAAATAAGATATGTCAGAATAGGATGAGAAATATTTTATCTTCCACGGAATTAAAAGAAAAAAAAAATCTATAAGAACATTTTCCTCAGTTTTTACGCATTTCACATCAAGTTAGGCAGCAAAGACACTAATGCGCAAGGGGTTACTGAGTATGAAAGAATATGAGAAAAAAATCCACATTAAAGAGATAAACCAATACGAGAAGGAGAATTAAGAAGACAGACCGTAACGAATGGCATTGCATTTACATTTGTAATGATCTAACTTGACCGGGACGCAAGAAATCGGAAGAAAAGTGCGAGAAAAGAAACTGTTAGCAGAAAACCTACGGTTAAATCTCGCCATTTCAACGGTAACATGATGAGATCAGGTACTGCGCTTAAATTCATAAAGTTTATGTAACATAAAGGAAGTTTCATCAGAGCAATTACCATGAAAGTATTCATAGATAAGGCATAGGGAAGCGATGTTGTTGGAAATTGACTGAAGCAGGCACAGTAGCGAAAACGGTTATGTTTTCTATTTTATCCAGAATTTCTAAATATATACCAGGATGACCAGACGAGATGTGGCAGAAATTTTCAAAACAATGACGAATGGTAGCGTTCAAATATGTAAGATAGTTTCTGGCGGTAAAAAATGTTTAGCACGAGACAATGAACCAACTATACTCGCAGAAAACCTAGCAATTTATTCAATATAACCTTTCCACTTCATGTCAGAAGAAATTGTTAGTTTCAGTAGGTGCAATGTGCCACTTTCCTGGAGGTTAGCATCAGACGTGATGATAAAAAAAAAGTTTTCTCTCAGACGATTAAATGAGAGCAATTTCGACTTGCGGACGTTAAAATAGACATGACATTTCTTGCTTCAGTTAAAGACAGAAAGTAAATAATTTTTTATTTTTTTAGATGAGCTACAAATTTCGCAATATCGAAACTCTCAGACTTATTGATAAGAGATAATTAAATGGTTATATCATCAGCATAGATACCAAGCTGCTATACGATTTCTCCAACTTTTTACACATATCAGCAATTAAGTAAAATACTTCAAAATTTTCAACGATTTTAAAATTTATTCAACTCAGCAAAGTGTTTCCAATATACCATTTGCTGTGTGTAAGAATTTAACCATCTAAGTATATTGTGATACAAATTCAGTACAACAGGAAAACGGTGAGAATTGAATTACAAGGATTTCCTGTTGAGCTTTCATTAAAGCAACAGTCTTCTCTTATAAGTCATTATTCTCCTGCTACATATTTTTATATAACATATTTGTCATATACTGAAGGGTGAAAATTCAAGGCATAATAAATTAATTTCCCTGGCCATATATATTTTACAAGAGAGAGAATCATCACATTGTTAAGACACAAGTAATCAAAATTAGTCTCTCTTTAAACAAAGCAATATATATATATATATATATATATATATATATATTCAAACAGATTTGATTAAATAATTTAGACATATCATGTGAATTAGTTTTCATTATGATCCTTTCAAATTCGTGGATTATTTTTCGGTAGATTTAGAAAATTGAGTAAAAAAAATACCAAGATATTCTTTTGAATATTTTTTTTTATTTTTCAAAGTACTGTCTATTTCCCCTGACACCATATGCAGGAGTTACGTTGTCTGGGCGTATGGATATGTGTTTCTGTGAATTTAAATCTTTTCAATTCTGCGTTTTTTATTGAGTAAGCAACGTTCTAGATTTCAAAGTTCAAAGTTTACGTGTTCTTTTGCTTTTTTCCAGTATAAGGGAAGTAACAGTTTTGTTTTTATTCATACGTATATATATTTTCTTTGTTTTTGACCATACATATATAATTTTTTTCATAAGCATTTAAGGACTTTGTTACTATACACAGTTGATTTTAACTCTCTTATATAAAGGGATTCAAGGATTTTTAATTTTTGCTTCTTTATATATGTATTTTCAACTAATATGCATCTAATTTGTGAGTGTCGGCATGGGTATTCTTTTAAGTGTTGATATATTGAGTTATGTTCAGCCAAACTGAATGTAAGTCTTTTTGTTAGCTTTGTCGTAGTAAAGTCAACGCACGTATTTACACATTTATCAGAGATTCCATCTCCTAGAGGACATTTAATTTGATATACAATTTTGACCCTTTGCAAAATGCTATTCAACGCAGAAGTATTGATTTGGACAACTATGTTTGTTGTATTAAATTTAGTATAGTTTCTAATTAATTTTATTTTTTTACTTAGATATATTAGTGTTTATGAGATTTTTAGAAATTTTCCTCCTGGTTATTTTTGGACTGCATTTGATTACAATTACAAGCAATTTGATATGTTTAAAGTTATTTTATTGTATTCATTTATACTCATGTTAATATTTCTAAAAGCTTGTCTAATTTGTTCATCAACAGTGTAATTACAGAAGTCATTATTAATGAAACATTTTCTACTTCAATGTAGAGTGGTCACGCACTGACAGAGCGCTCCTCACTTCATATATAAGAAATTTAACTTTCAGATGGACACAACAATATTGTCTTCCACAATAATAAACACTACAAACTTTATCCTATAATAAACAATACCCTGATGGTGACATTGGGCCATATCGAAAGCTCTCAGAAAGAAACGAAATAAGTATCAACACGGTGATTTTCTCTCGTTCTTCAATAACGACAGCAGAAAGCTTATATATATATGATATATTATATTTAAGTAATAATTTTATTCATTATATAGATCTTCATAGTAAAATTAGAATGTAAAATGAGAATGTAAAGTAAAATCGATTTGTATTAAAATCATATATACGTATACACACATACACGAACACAGACATGCGCACACACAAATACCAAGATAGACTAATAGAGAGAAAATAGATAGACAATGAAAGCCAGTTTTTGTATTCTTCCCTGAAACACTAAGGGGCTTAGAATATCGCTCGAGGTGGGAAAATGACAGTCACCATGCTGTGATAATTCACCTGCTTGTATCTTTCTTTCTTTCTTTCTTTCTTTCTTTCTTTCTTTCTTTCTTTCTTTCTTTCTTTTTTTCTTCTTCTCTCTCTCTATTTATATATGTGTGTCTGTGTCTGTGTGTAAAATATGTAAAATTCTGAATGAAAAAAAAAAAAATTACCAAGAGATTGTCTTCTTCAAGGAAGTGATAATTCTCAGCACACACACACGCATAAATACATACATACATACATACATATATATATATATATATATATATATATATATATATATATATATATATATATGCGTGTGTGTTGGTGTGTTTTGGGTGTGCGTCTTAGTGCGTGTGCTTCTGTGTGTTGCGACTGACTTCATTTAACTTCGAGAATCAAGTGTGTCCGACGTATATAAATAATTAAAGCGAAACTGAAGCTTAATCATCGTAATCTCAATAAACCTGTACCTTTATTAATGACGACATTGAAATATTGTCAATTGTTATTGATAAATAAAGCAGGTAGTTTGAGAATGGTTGTAAACTTTTGTCTTATTTTGACAATATAAGCTTTGGAGGTTATATTGGCGAATATGTGTATGCCAGATCATATCAAATTTATCTCGTGACTGTTTTTATTACGTTGACTACGAGTTATCTCGTGCTAAATCTGAATTATTTCGAGCGTGGTATATAATTTTCTCTGTGGTCGCAACGAATTTATTTTTAGTAAGACTTTTAGTGTGAAAACAATGTTACAAATTCAATTAAAACAATAAATAAAGCCATAAAATCTTTTGCGTAAGTTACTTTTGAAGTTCTATTCCATAATTAACCTCTCGTAGTCAATGCGTTAACAAGCAAACGTTTGACAGTCTGTCTACTTTCAACAATAAATGTATTCTCAATTTAATTAAGTATTGTTTACAGTTGAACTTTATTATATCACGGGTTCGAATCCTGACATCTTCCGTTGTGTGTTAAGAGAGAAAATATTACGAAATAATGCGAAATACTTCTCACTGAAATTTAGAAACGTTCGCTTCCTGTCTCTTCAAATAAGTTCAGTTCATTAAAGATTAGTAACAATTGAAGATTTTAGAAACTGTTTACAATGCCTTCTACCAGACCTATGTCTGTTATCAGAGAAAGCCAAAATTACCGTAATAAAGCTCTTGTCTCTTTTGAGTAATTTTAATACATATTAAAGATAAGGTTAACGTCCGTGGGCGCATTTTTTCCTTTATAAAGGTTCCCTGATATTCAAGCTGGCAGATGAAAAAATGTACTATTTAAGAAAACAATAAACAGAGCATGTACTCAAATATAGGTGTGCATAATTTTCAGCGATATATATATATATATATATATATATATATATATATATATATATATATATATATATATATATAATTTTTATATTTTATACATTCTTTTTATAGATACAAATATTTAAGAGGAGGACGAATATTTTCTGTGAAAATTTCTCGGACATACAGGCCGGTAAGTGTTGTTTAATACATTTTATTATAAACAGAGCATTTACTTAAATATTTGTGTCGATAAAAAGAATGTATAATCATAAACATGTCTTAAAATAATTGTCGGACTTTGTCCAATTCATAATATATATATATATATATATATAAATATATATATATAATATCAATTGATAATTAGTAGGGATAATTGCAAGGAGCATATGAATCCGCAGAGAGCTCAGTGTAAGAAAAGAGCAATGCAATAATGAGTACATCATCCTCAAAAATCCATCAGATCAGGTAATAAAGTTCAATTTATTCAGACACAAGGAAAAGGAAAAAAGAAATAAAATAAGAGAGAAATGAGAAAAAGGAAAAGTGTTAATGATAAAAGAGAGAAAGCAAAAAAAAGGGAAGAAAGACAAAAATTCAATATAATGTTTCCGGACGAAAAGAAATAGATATATATATGTAAAGGGGAGAGGAAAAGAGAGAGTCAGAGAGGGAAAGAAAGGAAAGACGGAATTAAGCATAGTAGACAGGGTCACCCAGAAAATACTTTTTCTTCCAGGACTTGAAAAGTTATTTTATATATATATATATATATATATATATATATATATATATATATATATATATATAGAGAGAGAGAGAGAGGGGAGAGAGAGAGTTTATATATATAAGTAAAGAACTGATATTATCTTCAGATTTCCTGACTCCAGAGTTTCGTAGGCGGACCTGTGCGTCCATTCTTCATGGAGTATCAGCAATTGTGTGCATATAGTTTTGGATTTTTTTTCTCTTTTTTATGCACTTGTCATTGGTGTAAGCGTTTTTTCCATATTCTTTGTAATCGTGTGTGCGTTTGGGAGTGTGTGGCTATGGGCCCGTCTGTGCGGTTGTACGTACGTATATGGTGTCGCTTTCATTTATCCAATACTTCGGAGTTTTCCCTCATATGCTCGCTACTTAATTTCTTCTTTTTTTTTCTACCTCATCCACTTTTCTTTTAAATCGTAGACATTTGTAGGCAACCATTATAACCAGTAGGCATGCAACTGCTTTTAATTTTTGACTTTTGAGTGTTCATGTATTTTGGGTTAGGTGTCTGGACGATTAACTTTGATTGTTCTGTTTGCGTTTCTTGTAAAGTCACATAAAATTTAGTCCACGTAGTGAATATCAATTTCTTGCAATTTCCTCTCCGTAAAATTTGCAGATTTTCTAATGCAAATATTGGCCCACAATATCATATCTGTCATTATATTCAGTTGGTGTCATTACAGTGCAAGCTGATACAAGATGGTTAATTGTTTCTGTATATCTAACACGGAATCTGCATTTTGGGTTAATATAATTTTTCGGTATGTGTGCAACTCCCCTATATATATATATATATATATATATATATATATATATATATATATATATATATATATATATATATAAACTAAACTATGCTAGATAAAAAACGGAATTTAGTTACGGAAAGTTCCATTGGAAATGTGAAAATCTAAACAACAAAGCAAAAATAAAACAACAAATATTATTATCATCATTATCATAGTTATAATTATTGCTTTTATGTCCATTATTTTTATTTTGTCCTAATGGAGTCTAATTATATTTGTCTACATTGGGGATACCGATTTTTGTTTTGCTAAGTTTAGTGTCTTGTTTAGTTTATTCTCATTAATAAATTGGTAGAAGTCTTTTATATCTACTTCCTTGAAGGATCAGTTTCTTTATCACTAACGTTATTAAATCAATTGTTTGTTGCAATCTTTTTATATTGGTTTAAGTCTAGTATGTTTCTTAATCTTGAGTATAATTTTTTCTAATATCCAATTGCTTATTTTCCCAATATTGCTTTTTGTTAATTTTTTATCCTTCATCTTTTAATATGTATTTAATATGTATTTAATATGTATTTAAATCATAGTTCCTTGTCTTCTCCCACTTTGTCCATTTACCTCGATTTTCGTCATATTATTCTATACTATCCGCCAACGGTTATTCTAATGAGGTGTTGGCCGTAAAATCTTTACCTTTCAAAAGAAAAACTTATCTGTTTAAAATAGCTTTGAGTTCTGTGTTATCAGACACACACATATATATATATATGTGTGTGTGTGTGTTCTTGCATGTGTGTGTTTGTGTTTTCAAAAATATTTATAATTATATATATGTTTCTATCTACCAATCATGATACGTTCTTATATATTCATCGTTATCACATTTTTTCTCTGCTTTTTGTCTCTTACTTTGATTAAACATAATAATCCGTTCATTTCTTTGTTTTTTGTTTGTTTGTTTTTTGTTGTTCGTTCATATCTATGAAACGTATATGAAAACAGTTAACGGGAATTTTAACTCATTGTGTTCTTTATTTTTTCATTAAATCTTCGTGACTAATCTGATATTGTCATGTTTTTTTTTTTTTATTAACCTTCAAAACGTTTTATTCATTTAGTTCTATTCATTCAATGTTATTAAAAGCACTTGAAACATTTGAATGGAGAATGTTAAATTCAGTGTGATGAATAAAACAAAATAGATCGTTGTAGTCAAAATATTTTCGAAATGTGAAATATGTCATCTAATTGTCAGGCCCATTGTGAAGTGATACACTATAAATATCAACACTATTTTAATTGTATCATCAAATATTTATAATACTTTTTCATTTCTATTTTTAGATTGTCTTTTGCAGCCACTGTAAATCCTAAGTGGTTTCGGAATTCGAATTGTTTGAATAAGTGCCGTTGCAATGAATAAATATTGTTATATATGATTTGAAATAAAATACGGACAGTTCATATTTGATGAACGTTTATAATAAGTGTCCAGGACAATGTAGCAAGGGAAGTAGTACTAATTGGTCGTATTGTCTGATACTTCTAGAAGTTTAATGTAATTTAATTAGTCAATTCCCTTGTAGATTTCAAAGCAACTTGCCCACGAACTTCTATCTTGAATACGTAAGGCAATACGCGCCAAGTGTTAGGAGGTATCTGATTGACTCTCATTCTTCCTCTAACATAATGTCTGCCTCTTTTGTTTGTTTTGAATGCACGTTGGAATTTTTAAATATGAAAAAAGCAAGAATTAGAAAACAAAGCATACATATTAATTCCTTACAGTAACATCATCAGGTTTTCTGCATTAACTACAAACAGGTGACTATAATCTCTTGTCTACAGACAGCATTGGCGAACTGCTACAATTCGTTAATGCAGTCCGTTTGATTAATTCCCGTGTTCAGCTATTGAGACCTTGTGCCAGATTAAAATATGCATTTTGAATGCCCTAAACAGATGATCGAAATACTTCTCATGTAGATATTATGTAGATATTAGGATACAATTAAGAGGTTAACGATTCCTTCGTTAAAGATTCAATCACGCAAAACTTCCGTTTAGAAAGAAAAGCAAGTCAAAATATAACCTAGATAAAATAATTATTTTATGCTGATATCGAAAGCGCTTTTCAATGTTTCTCGTCATACCTTTAAAAATCAGAGATTTTCTTCTCAACCATGAGAACACCTTTAACTGTTAATGAGCTGATTTTAACTTTGTTCAACTTGTCTAAATATACGACCGTATGAACATTTAAACTAATTTAATTACATTCATGTTATTCTCACTTAAGTGAACTTAACAATACTTACGTTCCCTAC